TTTAGGGTTTCCGTACATATCTCGGGAGTCGTACCCCTTGCTGATTGTGACCGTTGCATGCTTGGCCGCCCTAGGGTTTCGTGCCCTAGCATGGTGTATTTTCATTTTCAAAAGCATTTACCAGGGGCTTTTGGGATGCCGGGGGTTTTTCTATATATAGGGTGGTGTGGGCACAACTTATCTTGTGCTTCGTTCATAGTGAATACTCTGCCCCGACACCCTCACTGCTTGTAAGCCGAGTACTCATTGTAAAAGGTAGGTTCTAGCTTTCGGTCCGGTAACGTAGTTTGATGGCATCTGAGGGGGTTACTTTATCTTTAGGGTCTTCGTCCGGTGCGAGGGCCTCGGCGCATGATGTCAATGCCGAGGTGTTTGAGGGTTCTCCTAGAAGTTTGGGGCCGAGTAGTAGCGATTTATCCGGGGGTTCGTCATCCAGCTCGGACCTTCTTGATGCCGAGATGAGCCCTCGGGACTATAGGCAGAAGTTTCCCTCGTGCGAGGTGCCGGGGTATGAATGGGTTGATGACGAGGTGGCGGCGTACTTCTCTCATTTTTATGAGAGGTCTGCCATGGAACGACTCCTTAGTGTCTGTACTTTGGCCCGGTGGGAGGATTCAGACCCTTATCCGGTTATGTTGCGTCAGTGCCGAGCCGAAGGCCCTGGGGGGCCGACCTGGTGTTTCTTGCGAAGTAGGAAGGTCAAGGGGATTTCTTTTACATGTACGAGTGTTTCTTTCAAGAGCTCGACATGTCCCTCCCTTTGGATGATTTCCAAATGGGAGTACTTCGCGTGTTGAACGTTGCGCCGACCTAGTTACATCCGAATGGGTGGGCTTACATGCAAGCGTTCCCAGTCCTTTGTAAATATCATTATATAGAGCCGAGTGTAGGTCTTTTTTTGCATTTTTTCTATACTCGTCCATCAAATAAAACGGTCAAGTGGCTTTCCTTAATTAGGCATGCCGACCGACCACTATTGAAGCCCTTTACTTCGTCTTTTAAGGGTTTTAAGTCGGGGTTTGTGAAGGTAATAATAGACCCCGTTGCCGGCCGAAGTTATTTCTATGACGCCGAGCAGAAGCCCTTGTTTCCCTTTTATTGGACTCAGCAGCCTCGGAAATACGATGATTTTCTGGAGGAAATGATGACCGAGGCCGAGGTTTCGGCCTTAAATTACTTGAAAGTATTACCTCAGTGTATTCCGACTCAGTTTCTGGTGCTATTGCCTAAGTCACCTCGGCCTCGTTTTGATTTAGATGGTATGTTTTAATTTTTTTGATCAATCGTTCTTGTTAAGTTGATGTGTGACTGTTTAATTTTTGCAGGTTGGATGGCTCAGCAAGGTCTCGGCTTGTCGTACCACCATGCGATGAGGAACCGGGCTCCGGTAGGGACCTCGGCTGATGACCACCATAGTGTCGCGATCGATCAGCTACCGAGCACCGCCACTTCCCCTCGTCCATCACCCTGAGATATCGTCCTTCCGGATCCTAACGATAGGAAGAAAAAGGACAAGGGGAAGAGGAAGGCCGACGCGACTGGTGGGGAGACGAATCGGCCTAAGCATCGTCGGGCCGAGGGGCCTTCAATGGACTTGGTCATCCCTTCAGCCATCGTTGCCAAAGACTTCTTATTCGAAGAGGTTCAGCCGGCCTGGATGATGTCTTCTGACTTTCTCTCAGAGCAGGGTCACTTGATGCTTAACTCTGCCGCTTCTTCGGCTCAATGGGCCATGGCCTGCGAATTGCAGATCCGGGCCACGGCGATACTCCAGAAATTAGCTTTGGAGCCCATGGCCAACGTCCATAACATAATGTATAATGGCAAGGAAGTCAACACCGAATTTATCAAGCAAATCCTTCCCGCCATGGACAATGTCGATGCTCTCCACGATGACAACTTTTTTTTAAAGCTCAAGACCACAGGCTGCCAAGTTTTACTTCTTCTAGGGTTGGCCCCAATAGGTATGCCCAAATATACAAATGGAATGTTGGACAACTTGCAATGTAATATCTCTGCAAAGGAAATTAAGGTCTCTCTTCCCACACCAATAGCTCCTAAACAACTCTTGTAAAAGTTAACTTTAAGACCACTTGCCAACTCGAAACCCCGCAAGATTACCTTCAAGGTCCTCACATTTTCCACCGAAGCTTCCCCCACAAAGATTGTATCATCTGCATATTGGAGGATGTTAACTAATTCGCCTTTCGATCCCACTTTAATACCTCTGAACAAATCTGAATTTGAAGCTTCTCTAACCAGGCCAGTAAGTCCCTCTGCAACCAAAACAAACAGGAAAGGGGCTAGCGGGTCCCCTTGCCTAATCCCTTTTTGCATGGAAAATTCAGTTGTAGGGCTTCCATTAACCAGAACTGACATAGAAGAGGTTCTTAAGCACTCACCAATCCAGCCTATCCACTTATCTTGAAACCCAAAGCGCCTTAACATATATAACACAAAGCTCCATGAAACTGAATCATACGCCTTCTCAAAATCAACCTTGAAGTACATGCATGACTTCTTTCTGCGCCTAACCTCATCAAGCGTCTCATTAAGAACCATAGCTCCTTGTAATAATCCCCTTCCTTCCACGAAGCCCATCTGCCTATGATCGACTAAATACGGAAGCACTACTTTGAGTCTAAGTGCTAGAATCTTTGCGAGTATCTTATACATACAACCTATCAAAGAAATAGGCCTATACTCATTCAAACTTTGTGGTGTATCAACCTTGGGGATCAGAGAAATAAACGAGGAGTTGGTCCCGCGAGGTAATTTGCTATTATCATGGAACTGTTGGACAAAAAGCACCAAGTCCCTTTTCATAATATCCCAAAATTCCTTGATAAACTTGAAGTTTATACCATCTGGGCCTGGGCACCTATCACTCCCACACGCCCAAACTGCCCTCTTTATTTCATCTTCCTCGAATGGCCTGGACAACAGCTCTAATTGCTGAGCGTTTAACTGTTGGAATCTAACCCCATCCAAGCCTGGCCTATGAGTCATTGAGTCACTAAACCTTTCTTGATAGAAAGATTTAATGTGTTCTTTGACTATCGTAGGTTCTTCCTCCCACCGATTATCAATAAAAAGACCAGGCAGGTAATTCCTCTTCCTATTCAAATTTATGACATGGTGAAAATACTTTGAGTTTATATCACCCAAGTGCATCCACTTGACCCGTGCCTTTTGAGCCAGTTGAGACTCCTCTTTAAGTGCCACTTCCCAATATGTTTGTTGCAGATGAATCCTCCTCTGTAATTCCTCCTCTGATAAGATTCTAGTTTCCTCTATGAGATCAATTGCATTCATTTCCTTCATAACATCAGTAGCAGTTTGTATGGAGGTATTTCTACCTCCCCACCAATTCTTCACTTGGCATTTTATGGCTTTCAGCTTCTCCTTAACAATAAATGCTGCCCAGCCAACCACTTTTGTATCAGCCCAGGTCCTTGACACCAATTCTCTGCACTCCGAGTCATTTAACCAGAAATTAAAGAATCTCCATGGTTTAGGCCCCCAATCTATCTCCCGGTTCCTCATCAAAATGGGACAATGATCTGATATTCCCCGGTTAAGGACTAACTGAGCAACTCTCGGCCACCTCTCCAACCACCTTAGCGAAACCAATACACGATCAATTCTGCTTTTAGCCCTCCCATTTGGTTTATACCATGTATATTTACGACCCGCCAAAGGGAGATCTTCCAGTTCCATCTGAGAAATAAATTGATTAAACATTTCTATATCTGTAGTAGCATAGAGACCAGTAGTTTGGCCAACCCTCTCCTCCAAGCACCTTATGCTGTTAAAATCCCCTACCACACACCACAATGCTATTGAGCTAGCTCTTTTCTTTTCCAGAATTTCATCCCATAACATCTTTTTACGCTGTCTCTCCGAGGGTGCATATATATTTATAATCACCAGTAAATCTCCAGTCACAATCCATTTGGCAACCAACCCCAAATACCCTTGACCTGCAATTTGAGATGTTACCTCAAGTTTTCGGCTATCCCAAATGCATAATAATCCTCCTGCAGCATTATTTGCAGGAGCCCAACAACACTCGCACACTCCACCACCCCATAGTTTTTTGTACAACGCTTCCGTGACAACCTCCTTCTTAGTTTCTTGTACACATAGCACATCCACCCTATGTTTCAAGACCAGCTTCCTGATGATACCATGCTTTGCCTCACTTCCGAGACCTCTAACATTAAATGAAATAATCTTCATTGATCACTAATGTTCACCCCTTCATGTGTCTGGCGTTGGAACATCTTTGCTTGTTGAATGTCTCTATTTTCCAGATTACCAAACTGCTCCACAATCACCCCCTCATCACCTTCATAGGTCACCCCTAACGCCTTTGCCCTTTCCCATTGTTTCTTGGCCTCAATGATCTCATAATTAGCCCAGAACAATCGATTGCAGTTCAATACATTTGTATCTGAAATGGAATTATTAGATGAGTTTAAATTCTGGCTCATTTGGCTTCTAACAGCTTGTGTCACCTTCCTTGACTTTGATTGATGCACCACATGTGTCGAGCATTGTATCTTTTTTGCCTCTCGCTCATCACCCAGAGGATCCAAATTTATGTTGTCATCTAACATCGTCGGTGTAACATTGGCGACGGCCCCAACGGATCTATAGTTCATCTCTAGCACAGCCTTCTTTGACAGCTCGTTCGAATGCATCAACAAATATACCGGTTCCCCGCACTGGTCTAAGATAGTCCCCTTCTCGGTCATACCCTCTACTTCCACCGTATTATTTTTGACCCTTTCGGAATTGACATTGTCATTCTTTGGACCTGCTATTTGTGGCGATGCACGTGTTGAGCCCAAAATAAATCTATTGCATGTGGTTAAACTTGAAGTCCGAAGTATATTTGGACCTCGTAATAGGCAACCCCTCCCCCAAGTACATGGAAGTGACATTCTTCGACTTGATGTAAGGTTTAGCTGACCTACTTCCCCATTTCCTGAACCTCATTTTTGGTGCCCTTTTCCTGATTGATCTTTGATATCCACCTTTTTTCCTAACACAGTACCCTCCCCCCTCACCAACTCCCTGAAGCTACCTCGTTGTAGTATACTTTTCTCTGTGTTGTCTGACTTATCTTTTGCATTGACGACTACACTTTTCATTGCTTCACTACACGCCACCTTTGAAACTCCCGCCATCCATGAATTTGAATTTGGACAATCCGACCTAGCTCCGCCGTTGCTTCTACCTGCTGGAGATATGTCCTGGGCATAAGGATTGTCATCCCAGCTCTCGTCTTCTTCTATCGTGTCTGAGATAGAATGTAAGTCCCCACCGCAAACACTTTCATTAGATTGTAAGATCTCTGAGTTGTCCCTCCATAGGTAACACTTGCAGTTTGGGTATAACCCCGCTGTTTCTTCGACTAGTCTGATTTGTGTTCGTATTCCATTGATCTTGAACCGGGAATGTTGTTGGATGGGTAGTTGTGATGAAGTTTTAATAAGCAGCCTCGCACTCTCAATTGTCTTGAACGTGGCAGTATCTGAATCCACCTTAACCAAAGACCCTTGCATGCACACCACCTGAGAAAAATATTGTTCATTCCACATATGCAAAGGGACCCCGTAACACCTCACCCACGTTAATCGAGACCCAGGCAATGTTGTCGGATCCCAACGGTTGATATCATAGAACAATGCCCAAAACTCACTATTTTCTCCCTTCTCTGCTTCCATAAGATCCATCTCCTGCAAGCCTGAAATCAAGACTAAATCATCTCCAAAGTATCTTAGACGTACCTTTTCGTTCCCATGCAATGCTTGTAGCCCTTCCAGTCTGTCAAAATCCTCCAGTGAGTGTAACCTTGCCACCCAACTCTCCCGAAGCCATTCACTACACACCTCGGGCACTTTCATTGTAATTTCAGTCCATTCTTCGTCCTCACTATTACCTTGGATTGATGGTTTTTTCTCACACCACATCACCTTCTTTGTCCTTATCGCCCTTGTATGACGGGATCGTGGGGCTACCGTCTTCACCTCCTGGTATATATTTTGGACTGCGTTTCCGTTAACCACATCAACGTATGACCTTTGGGTGTCCTTCCTTCCAGCCTCTCGTCGATATATTTTTGTCTCATGTTTCTTCTTCGTCGTTTCTTCCTTAGAGAACCTTGAGATGTTTACGTTGAGCTTAACACTCCCAATGTAGACTTTATCCAGCCGAACCTCCAGTGCTTTTACGTCCCACACGTCAATGAACTTGACGAACCCATACAAGTATCCTTTAGCATTCCTTCTTGCAGCAATGAAGACCTCCCACACTCTGCCCCACCTCTGAAACACTTTCCATAGATCTTGCTCACGATACGACGGTGGAAACTTCTCAAAATAGAAAGATGTAATTCGTCCATTCATCACGATATGACGGTGGATACGACGGTACGACAAAACATGTGTATCACGTTATTTTTTCCCACCCATCCCTTATCTTGAGCTAAATAAGGTTCTCAAACCAAGTAGACCATGAAGTCTAGAATTGAACATCCTTAATGTGAGCTCCTTGACATAGAATATGCATTGCTACTTATGTATGTCATATTGAAGAAGACAGCCTACCCTCTACAAACTCTATGTTAAACACCATATACATATATTCGTGCACGATTTGGATCTTTTAATATGACATTATGGTTTTGTGAAATCTTGATTTCTTTTTTGTTTTGTCACCAATTAATATTTTATAACCCATTCTCCAATGGAAGCAATTCATTTGAGTTGTTTCATGCATTGAAAAATAAAAAAAGTGATTTCCAATGCGTCATGTCAGTATTAAGCAACTCAAACACAAATTTACTCCAATGATAAGAAATTTTAAGAAATTTAACTTTTAGAATTTTTTTCTAATCATTTATGAACTAATTTTAAATTTTTATTAAAAAGGATAATTGCACTACAATGAAAGAAAATAAATTACGAGAAAAAATAAACAATAAGTAGATATTAAAAATAAAATAAAACAATAGTAAATACATAGAAATTATACGAAATTAATTTTCATCATTATTATTTCCAAAACGTTCCCAAATATATATGTTCAATAAGATCTGCTTGAAATCTGGTAAGAAACGGTTGCTTGAGGAAACAACTCTCTCTCTTCTTCAAGCAACTCATGTTGCCACGTTAGAGTCTTCCAATAATAAAAAATCGGGGCTTAAATTGCTTCATGAGATAAGCAATTCCCATTAGAATTACTCTAATTACGTTTATGAGATACAGTAACTGTCACTCACTAAGAGTTTTTTCATACAAGGAAGATCAAATACAAAATTCTTTATTAAATGGGTTTTTTCACAATGTGCAGCTATATAGTGCTTAACTATTACGTCGATTCATTGAGTTAAAATTCTGACTTTTAACTAAAAATAATAGAGAAAAATTTAAATAATAAAAGATAACATATAAGGGTTTTGATGGTGAAATTATCATCAGAGAGAATCTTTGTAACTATATATCCTTATTTATTTGAAGAAAACAAAACCTATTTATATGTGCTATGTATATATTGCAATTTCCCAATTAATCGGACAGGCTATAGCTGGCCAGCAATCCATTCTAAGAACATCAATCTAATTTTAAGAGCCACTCAGTCAATGTGTGTCTGGTCCCACTCTGCGGATTGGAGTTATCACATCACAACCGCTAGTCGACACATATATATATGTCTACCTATATGTGTGGAAAGCATTTGCCATGTTTAATTAACTAATTCAAGATATTATAATTAAGTTGTTGGTGTTGGAAATATTTTTATAGTGACCAATGGCATGTTATATGGACTGCAATATTATGGTGCATCTGGAGAGCTAGGAATAAATATGTGTTTGAAGGGGAGCACCTTGACGGGAATCGTTTACTGCAGCAAACTGTGTTATACTCATGGTCTTGGCTGACAAGTTTTGATAAGTCGTTCAACTATTCATTCAGTCAATGGGAAGCTAATCCTGGACTTTGTATCATTTCCTAAGATCTTTGATGGGATTTTGAGGAGTTTTTAGAGTAATCTAGTATGCAAATAGTTGATTTTGGACCTCTTAGTTGGAGGCTAATTTGTAACTTAAATTAGGCCCAACTTTGTTGTGTCCTCCGCATGCAAACATGTATTCGACATTGGTATTTCTTGTACCATTTTATTATATAAAATATTTCTTTGCTGTTCAAAAAAAAAAAATTTATAGAAAAAAACATGTTTCTCAATTAAAAAAAAAATGTTGATGTCAATGGTGTCAAAGGCCATGAGGTATAAGAAGGCCATTAACATATGCTAAAAAACAGTGGTTTTGAAGCATTTTGTAGGTGATGGAAATTTTGAGAGATTAAATTGATGTAATCCTTTTTTTAAACTTTTATCTTTTAATTTACTTTTTGATCTCCTTCTAGCTTTTTCAATGACTTTCTAAGGTGTTAGAAGCCCTTTCCAAATACACATGGAAGAGAAAGAATCTCTCTTGGTGACGTCACACTCATGTAAGTGATACGTCTCTTTAATTTTCATCACACTTGAGAGGATAAGAGAAAATGATCAAGTTTCAAAGAGAGAAATAAGTTTTGAGAGAGAATTTGGAGACAAATTTCATCCAAATCATGAATATTACTCAAAACTATCACAAAATGGGTACAAAAATACAATAAATAGAGCTTAGCTGGCTTAGATGCAAGTTAGATAAACCATGATTAAATGTAATCATGGTTAGCTATCTTGTACTTAAGATAACTAACTCTAGTTTAATGTCTACAAGTCTAGTTAGTTGTCTAGAAGTTTAAGAAGCAAACTAAGCTAATCCTAATTTAAAAATAATCTAGGTTAATTTAAATTAAATCTAACTACCTAGCTAACCTAATCATTATAACTACTAGACTAATGATTACTTTTAACAAGTTTGTTGATATGTCACAATTAAAGTCATGTGATTTAATTTGTAATTTGAATGACAAGTTTCGCATGGTTTGGACGTCCAAATCACTTGCATGGGCAAGTAGATGTTAAGTCTCAATTTTACCTCTTTTTGGATGAGACTCCCTCATCCAAACCAAAAAAAAATGGTAGCTCATCTTTAATTGAAATTAATAATTTCAATAAATTATGCTATTTATTATTTGAAGAGTATAAAAAAAAAGTTAAGGAAATAGTGAACCGTTCAACTTTACAAGCAAATGTCAATGGGTCAAACATGGATAATCTAAATATTAGTCATTTTCTTAGTGATTATGACTCATTTGTGAATGATACAAATATACAATTGAAAAATCTAAAATGGATTTAAGACACCCAATAAGACATGAAAAATAATAATTAATTAATCAATTAATGTAACGACCCGGCTAGTCACTACACACGGCATCGCACACTAGAAACTCCAGACAGATAGAACAAGTATATAAATATAGGATCTAGAATATATAATATACTAAGTTCTGGTCTGACTAGGGTTAAAGTGCACCAAAGAAAATTACAACCAAATGCTACTATCCCAAGTAGCTACAATCAAAATATCCACACAAGCAAAACAGCTCCAAGGTCCACCGGAGACTCATCCCAGGACGCCCACCTATTCCTGTTCTGCTCCCATACATAGTATGATCATCGCAGTCCAACAACATGGAAAACAACAAAGGGTAAGCTAGTATTCTTTAATCAAACATATCAGCAAAGGCATAATAAGGTAATTAAATTCATCGCTATAATTATCAGCACATCTGCACAACTCATACTGCTCAACAACATCAGCACCGCGATGCGGTTACATCAACACTGCTTAGTAGCAGCAACAGCACAACAACAACACCACTTCAAGTGGTTAGAATGGCCTCTCACTTAGGCACACATCAGCACCAGCTAGCGGTTATTACAGCACCACGTATGTGGCAAACAACAGCACCGACTTAACGGCTACAGTACCACACTATTTGGCATAGTATAGTATGGCATAACACAGCTCAACATGGTACAACACGGCACAACCATTCAACAGGTTTACTAATTACATATATTTCAACCCAACAGTATACATCTAGTACAGCTAAACATGTTCATCATTTTATCAGCTTAAATCAACATAAACAACATCTAATCTGACCCAACCATCTTGTTTACAACTCATCTATCTTGTCAAATTACTCACCCAACAACAAGAGTACACCTAAGTACCTAAAACAACTTTCCACTTAACCAAATCACTAAATGTGAAAGGGCAACCATCACAACAAACAGCGCATCGGGAGTTATACTACTCCTACCATGCTCATCCTTATCTCATATGAAAGATAATAAAATTTCCTACAACTCTCATGAAGACACCAAGTCTCAAATCCTTCATCTACCTTGTTAAAAAATCCAAAAACCGCAACAGCTACAAGTAATGCTGGCAGCTTGACCCCTCTTCACTAAAACGGCCATATCTGGAGTTCTAGAACTCCTTTTTGGGTGATTCCAGCGCCATTGGAAAGATAACATCCAAGGCTACAACTTCCATGAAGACCTTGAGACCAAATTCGGTCATCTAGGCCCAGCGCTGCAGCGCTCAATCCAGCGCTTTAGCTGCAACTCTCGGCCAGATCAGTTTTCCCTTCCACCCATGGCTGCAAATCCACGGCTATAGCTGTGATTCCACGGCTATAGCTGTAGGTTTCAGATCTTTCGAAAATTCCATGGATTTCACCTCCGTTTTCACTCAAATCCTCAATAAACATGCAATTCTTCACAGAAAATTCACATGCAATCCAACCAAAATGTCACATTTTCATCAAGGAGTTCAAAGATACCAACTTTAAATGCATGCAACCACAAATCAAAGAAAATTCCAAACTTTTGACTCAAAACCACAAAACCCCCAAGACTTCCATTTTTCAGCAACTCAAACAGGCCTTAGTCATCATCATCAGCAGCAAAAGAGCTCAAAGAACTCGTTTTTAGCCAAGTAGAACCAAAAGAACACTAGCTTCCCTTACCTCCGTCCAATGGTCTGAGTTCCAGGAAGGAGAAAGCTAAGACGGGGAAGAACGGAGAAGAGCTTGAACGAAAATCTGAGTCCTTACTCAGCAGCAGCACCTACGGTTCCAAGGCAAGAATGGAAAGAGTTAAGAAGCGGCAGAGTTAAGCATCAAGTGACCCTGCTCTGAGAGAAAGTCAGAAGACATCATCCAGGCCGGCTGAACCTCTTCGAATAAGAAGTCTTTGGCAACGATGGCTGAAGGGATGACCAAGTCCATTGAAGGCCCCTCGGCCCGACGATGCTTAGGCCGATTCGTCTCCCCACCAGTCGCGTCGGCCTTCCTCTTCCCCTTGTCCTTTTTCTTCCTATCGTTAGGATCCGGAAGGACGATATCTCAGGGTGATGGACGAGGGGAAGTGGCGGTGCTCGGTAGCTGATCGATCGCGACACTATGGTGGTCATCAGCCGAGGTCCCTACCGGAGCCCGGTTCCTCATCGCATGGTGGTACGACAAGCCGAGACCTTGCTGAGCCATCCAACCTGCAAAAATTAAACAGTCACACATCAACTTAACAAGAACGATTGATCAAAAAAATTAAAACATACCATCTAAATCAAAACGAGGCCGAGGTGACTTAGGCAATAGCACCAGAAACTGAGTCGGAATACACTGAGGTAATACTTTCAAGTAATTTAAGGCCGAAACCTCGGCCTCGGTCATCATTTCCTCCAGAAAATCATCGTATTTCCGAGGCTGCTGAGTCCAATAAAAGGGAAACAAGGGCTTCTGCTCGGCGTCATAGAAATAACTTCGGCCGGCAACGGGGTCTATTATTACCTTCACAAACCCCGACTTAAAACCCTTAAAAGACGAAGTAAAGGGCTTCAATAGTGGTCGGTCGGCATGCCTAATTAAGGAAAGCCACTTGACCGTTTTATTTGATGGACGAGTATAGAAAAAATGCAAAAAAAGACCTACACTCGGCTCTATATAATGATATTTACAAAGGACTGGGAACGCTTGCATGTAAGCCCACCCATTCGGATGTAACTAGGTCGGCGCAACGTTCAACACGCGAAGTACTCCCATTTGGAAATCATCCAAAGGGAGGGACATGTCGAGCTCTTGAAAGAAACACTCGTACATGTAAAAGAAATCCCCTTGACCTTCCTACTTCGCAAGAAACACCAGGTCGGCCCCCCAGGGCCTTCGGCTCGGCACTGACGCAACATAACCGGATAAGGGTCTGAATCCTCCCACCGGGCCAAAGTACAGACACTAAGGAGTCGTTCCATGGCAGACCTCTCATAAAAATGAGAGAAGTACGCCGCCACCTCGTCATCAACCCATTCATACCCCGGCACCTCGCACGAGGGAAACTTCTGCCTATAGTCCCGAGGGCTCATCTCGGCATCAAGAAGGTCCGAGCTGGATGACGAACCCCCGGATAAATCGCTACTACTCGGCCCCAAACTTCTAGGAGAACCCTCAAACACCTCGGCATTGACATCATGCGCCGAGGCCCTCGCACCGGACGAAGACCCTAAAGATAAAGTAACCCCCTCAGATGCCATCAAACTACGTTACCGGACCGAAAGCTAGAACCTACCTTTTACAATGAGTACTCGGCTTACAAGCAGTGAGGGTGTCGGGGCAGAGTATTCACTATGAACGAAGCACAAGATAAGTTGTGCCCACACCACCCTATATATAGAAAAACCCCCGGCATCCCAAAAGCCCCTGGTAAATGCTTTTGAAAATGAAAATACACCATGCTAGGGCACGAAACCCTAGGGCGGCCAAGCATGCAACGGTCACAATCAGCAAGGGGTACGACTCCCGAGATATGTACGGAAACCCTAAACCCATCAAAAGTCACACATCACACTCAAACCCCTTCGTCTTTCATCCTAGGGCTTGGGGGGCAGTGTACTAGTGAACACCCCCCTCGGTCAGACACTAGGCCGAGAGAAGCACCTAAACCGATGAAATCCACACTTACGCTACCCTTCGGCTTGGGACTTGGCTGAATACCCCTTCTCGGCCTTAGAGATAGCCGAATACTTTCCCACAATGAGGTGAAGGAAGTGAACAAAAAAGCATCGAGAAACGTCCAAAAACCTCTTCGGCCTCGAGCTTGACCGAACACCCTCTCAGCCTCAAGCTTAGTCGAACACCCTCTCGGCCTCAAACTTGGCCGAACCCCCCTTCGGCCTTGAGCACGGCCGAGATCCTTTTCGATCTTGAGCATAGCCGAGCCCCTGTTTCGGTCTTAAGCTTGACCGAACACCTCCTCGGCCATACGAACAACCGAACACCTCTTCGGTTAAAAGCTTGGCCGAAGACCCAAAGTGTATCAATCCATGGGGAAAATATGATAGATTAGGATATCCATTACACAATGATTATCACGTCTAATTAAGAGAGATTAAGGTTAACCAAAGTATTACCCATCTCCCAAGACAGAAGGCCCACCAGGCCCAAATACGTCACTATAAATATATAGGTGATGAGACATAAATGAGGTACGTTTTATCTAATATAAAAGTATTTATTGCTCTATACTGAACACTTACTTGATCGTCGGAGTACCTTTGCAGGTACCCTCTCCACCCATTGAAGATAGTATTCGGTCGGCACCGAAGACTTAGAAGACCATGAAGAAGGAACGACAAGAGGAGTGTTTCTAAGCAAGAACACTTAATTAATTAGCTTTTAATTATTAATATAAATATTATCACTATTATGCCGTTAATAACCAAGAAGAGATAAGAGTAAAGTGGTAACGTACATGGAAAAGATCAGCACATGCTCTGCTATGCAAATCATTTACAAGTGCTATTCAACCAGACATTTTGGTTCATAGATATGTAGATATTTAGATGTTAGCAAAAAAACTAGGTAAGAACAAAACGTCTTTGTATGCCGGATTCTCATGTATCTTATGTCATCATAAGTAATAGTTTTAATCCTCTACTTTTATTAATTTTAAATTCATTATTGTATATATTTTTTCTATAAAATTATTATGTTGAACGTATAATTTAACCATTACATTTGTCCGTCAATTCCCAATTTGATATTTATATATAAAAAATTTATTAAATCAATTCTTACTCTTGTAAAACGATTTAATCTATAATATCATTTAATCTGTTATATATTATTAATTTAATTTGTTATATATTATTAATTTAATCTTTATACATGTAATACAATTTTTAATTTGGTTCTTATATGTTATTAGTTTCTTAATTTGATTTCTACACATTAGGGATGATAAAATGGACCTAAACCCTACAACCATCTACAAAAATATCCTTATGCGAAACAAGTAAATTAATAATCGTTTATATGAAAATGGATACAGGGTGGGTATAGACCCACAAAATTTAGTGAGTGTGGGTACGAGTACTATAATACCTAATTTGTCCTACTCGACAATTATATATGTGTGTGTGCATATATATATATATATATAAATTACTTAATAATAATATATTTATTTAAATTAATTAGATTAGTATATACATATATATATATAATATTAGTATTATTTTATATTAAAGATACAAGTTAAACTTATTAGAGTATTTTTTTTCTAAGTTTTACGGTAGTTCATCTTTGTCTATCTATAGTCTGGTGCAATGGTTTGCTTGTTTGTAATACCATTGTTGGGTCTTAGGTTCGAGACATGACATGCCCTCATCCAAACCAAAAAAAAATGGTAGCTCATCTTTAATTGAAATTAATAATTTCAATAAATTATGCTATTTATTATTTGAAGAGTATAAAAAAAAAGTTAAGGAAATAGTGAACCGTTCAACTTTACAAGCAAATGTCAATGGACATCCAACCTATGAGCCATAAAAAGATTTGGGTCATTCAAGCCCAAATACGTCTAATAAGACTTTGCTAGTTATACCTCCCTTAATCTACTAATTACACCTTAAGTAAAAATAATACAACGATAAAATTACCTACACTACTTGAACCAAAATACAAGGTCAAAATAAAGGAAAATATTTACAAGAATAAAAGGATGAACTATGAAATAACCCTATAGCTCCGCAAAAGCTTAAGCGTTCTATCTTCACCTTGAACTCATTTCTCTTGCATTCTTCTTGACATTGCTTTTGTTAAAGGTTCTATGATCTTCAAGAATGATTTTTCATCAAGAGGCTATTAAACAATTATAGTTAACAACATTGGACAACTAACGAGTTTGAATTTTCTCTATTTTTCTTTTATTTTTTTTCTATTATTTTAAAGTAGATAAATAATATTAAATATATTATAAAAAATATTAATGTCTATTATACATCCAAAAATATAGTAATAGACCTAAAGAAACGGAAAGGATTTGAATTCGGCACATCAAGATTATTTTTAACCATTATTATTAGAAATGTGGGTTTGGATTAATTCAACCTATAAAATTGGTTAGTAAGGAAAATTGTTCATTACTTATATATATTATTGTGGTTTTATTTGTAGTCTATGTGAGATCTTTAACATATATCTCTCACGTCAATAACTAAACATCTTGAACGTGAAATTTGTAAGATTAAACATATGCAAGTAGTACAATAGCATCCTAATAGCTTGGCCGAATAATTCCAACAACATCTACTAAGATATGTTCTAATATGCTCTAATACCATCTTAAAAAAGTGGATTATAATCTAACTCAATCTTACAAAATTAGTTAATAAAATGAGAATTTCTCTCCACTTATAAACACTAGTTTGAAGATCTCATATCGACTAGTGATATGACAAAAATAGTGTATATAAGCGGGGAACGATCCTTACCTTATAATCCAATTTTGTAAGATTAAGTTATGCTCCAATTAATCTACTTTCTTAGTATATATATGTATCAAAACATATTAGACTCTATATTCTATCAAATATCGATGTTATCTAGTCCTCAACATGAGAGAGATGTATTGAAGATCTCAGATTGATTAAAGATAAGACCATAATGATGTATATAAGTAGGACTAACCTTCACCTTATAATCTGATTTCTTCTTTATGTTTTGACTACCATATAATGGTTAGAAACACGATTTTACTAACATTAATTTTTATTTTAGAAGTAGTTGTAGTTGGAAAAATATTTTGGGATGTTTTTAAATTAAT